CACAACATGATTTTCCTGCTTTAATTGTCTCATCCTGATCGAGGCATCCTGCATCACTCAAAACGCAGATTAAATCATAAACATATATCAAGTAGTTTCATCATCAAAATACGAGATTGAACAGTAATATAAATGAAAAGCATGAAAGAAATATAAACCTAGTTTTATAGTGGTTCGATCGTCATGACCTACATCCACTCCCGATTCCTCTTCACTCGAGGCCACCGACTTCCACTACCGATCTTCTTTCAATAAACAAAGATCAACTACCCTTTTACACTCTTTCTCCTTTTCATAAGCTCAGGAGAGAACTTTTATAGAACCTTTACACCTCTCTTTTAGACCTCACTCCTCCCTTAGAAAACTTCTAACTCTAGGAGGAAGAGACTCTAAATCCCAATAGAGTTTCTAATTTTTTTCAAGTATTCTTTCCCTCATTTCAACTTAATTTTGTGCGATGCCAAGAAAAAATATCTAGGGTATTTATAGACCCCAAATGGTTTAAAAATTGAGCCAAAAAAGGTCTCATACTGGGTTTCCTAGGTCCTAGCAGTACCATCGCTTGTGTTGGGTGGTACTACCACCTACAACATTGACACTAGGCAATACTAACGCCTAGTCTAGTGGTACTACCACTTGATAGAGCCTCGAAGACTGGGCTCTGGTTGTACCATCGCTTGATAGAGCGATACCACCGCCTGACAGCATTAACTGCCGGTGGTACCACTACCTAGTCTGGGCGGTGCCACCGCTTGACATGGCTCCAAGTGGCCGAGTGGGCTATCCATCTAACCCAACTCAGCTCTAACTTAGGCATAATGGCCACCTATTTGAGTTGGCATAATTCCAACCCAATTACAACTTAAAACTATTTCGATCTAAACAATTATTACAAAGCATTAATCTCATATTGTCTGGCATGTCATTGATTCATTGGCGCTTCATCCAATCCTTCGGCACATCGTCCTCTTTTGTGGTCTTTTGCCCAATTGACATGTTGACCTCCGCAACTCCAATCTCCTTAGCGTAATGTTCACTCTTCTAAGCCTGATGCCTGAACTCATGACACAAAGCCTTCTACCGACACGTCGATCGATCCTCCGGCTCGACGTCCAATCTTTTATCATGTTCCACTCTAGCCCAACATTGATTCTTCCTGCTTTAATTGTCTCTTCATGATCAAAGCTAGTTCCGCGTCACTCAAAATATAGATTAGATCATAAACTCTATCAATTAATTTCATCATCAAAATTCGAGATTTAACAAGTGCCACCACTTGACGTGACTCCAAGTGGCTGAATAGGCACTCCAACTGGTCCAATTCAGCCTTGTTTAGGGCTCAGTTATTCCCAAATTGAGTTAGTAGGATTTCTTCCAAAACTAACTCAAATTAAAATCCTAACTACAATAGTTAAAGACTAAAACAATTTACAATACAAGGAATTTAAGTTGCCTAGTACATTACTTGTTCAACCGAGCTCTTGGTGAACTTCCAGCGAACTTCCGATGATCTTTTGGCGAGCTTTTGGCAAACTCCTAGAAAACTTCCGGCAAGCTTTCGGTGAACTCCCGACAAACTTCCGATGAGCTTTCGATGAACTCCGTCCTAACATTGGATTCTTCTTTTATCATTTTGCCTATCTTATGATTGTAATTAATTCTGCATCACTTATCTCAATATATAAATTAGATTATTAATTTATCAACTGATTTTATTATCAAAATCTGAAATTCAACATAAAAAACGCTCAACAATATTTTTTAAAAATTAAGACATTTTGTAAAAATTTTTCAAAAGATACAGACTTTTTATGAGAATTCATCGTACAATAAAACCACATATAAGGATTTCATATAAAAATGAGATATGCACGTGATCTTATAATGATCTATTTTCTAGAGTAAAACATACTTTCATTTGCTTAAAACAACTGAGATATGCATGTGAGCATATAACCTTTACAATTTTTTTAGTTTAACTTGCACATTTAAGCTTTGAATTTTTTTACAATCTCTTTTCTGAGCTTCCACTACCCAAATTTATTGTTTAAATTTTCTTGTTATATTACATGTCAAAGGATTTCTTTTACGAACGTAAAAAATGATAGCTATAAAGGGTCATCTTTGAACCTTCGAAAAGTAGGAATAAGATGGTTATCTAAGAAAATAGAAAAGAGATTGTAAAGAATTATTTTCAAGCTCAAGAGGCAATAGTTCAATTTATGTTAAATCTTTTTAATCTAGGATTGTATTTACTCTTGAACTTATATAAAGAAGATTACAATTAGTTCCATCACCGCTAACTACAAAAGAAATATATATATAAGAAATATACATGTCTAAATCCATGAACTATATTAATGGGCCCGATGCACATTTGAAGTGGTATATGAGAGAGAAATATACATATATAAGAAACTATTATTTGTGGGATTAACATATAATGATACTCATCCTTTAAGAAAACACAATAACATAACCTAAATCATCTACTATCTTTCAACTTATGAATGCATATTTTCCAATCAAGTATCCCTCAGCTCATATTACGGGTCAAATGAGGTCTTTAAACTATAATTAATGAATTGGTTTATGGTGTATATCTCAATTTTATTCTTCTAACAACCACAAATATGACTAAATGAAAGTGCATAATGTAATACTTCATTTTCGTGTAGATGAAAATTTGAATGGGCATAAATTGGTCTTTTATCTGTGGCTTGGGTGTAAGCATTTTAATTAGTGTTCAAACACAACAAAATTAATAGGTGACTTAAGTATTTAAGACCAATAACAAATTTAATGATTTAGTTATCCCATTATAACAAATGATATCGAAGTTGATTTATAAGAACTCTAGATAAGAAAATAAATTTATAAATGCAATTAAATATATAATATTTATGGAAAAAAATATTTGATTATAACAAATAATCAATATATTTCGAATGTTGAATCAGGAAGGATTAGTAGAAATAAAACATTAGATCGAGCTTTTCTTTGTTGTCAAGGTTTACTGAACATATTAAATTCAGCATTTAAGTAGGAAAAACCATATTAGATTAGTTTCATGGTTTTGACTTTAGATTATCTTAATAGGATGTCAAATCATTAGGTGTGAAAAATTATAATATCTGTATATGTTTGTATTTTATTACATTATATATCAGTAGCCCAACTACCATCCAGCTTTCCTGGGAAGATGGCTGCGGGGAAGGCAGTGCCGCGGCCATTGCTGCGGACGCATCGGACCACGACATCGAAGTAGCACGTCTCGTCCAACGGCGGCGGTGAGAACGGAGCGCTTAAAGTCGACTTCCGGCCCCCCCAGTTTTGGACCACGTATCCTAACCCCGCCCCGTAGGCGAGCCGTGAAGTCAACAGTTCAACCATCCATGCCACTGTCACCGACCGACCAAAATTGACCAAGCTCCTGAGAACCGTGAGTTGACCGACACCGGCCAGCGACACCCCGCTCCTCTGTACGAACTCACGCAGCACCCCACCATCTTGGTCGTAGTAACGAGTCGCACCGGTGTCGGTCCGGTTCGCTAGTGACAAGTGCTGCGAAACACGACCTTTGCGCGACACATGGGGTACGACAGCCCACAGGAAGATAAGAGCCGGAAGAATGGCAAAACCGCGAATAGCCAAAACCTGAGACGGGGAATTCTTTGGATCAGACGATGATGATTGACTTGTTCTTATTTGTTATAAATATTTCTAAAGAAAAAGAAAAGAAAATATGGTAAAGAGTCTTAAAGACTAATTTGGTCAGCACGTGAGAGGACGCTTTTGTTTCCCTACTATCCATCAATTGTTCAACTTCCTCTTTTTGGACACCGTTCGCTCGTGCCCTGCTGATACCATCACTCGCTCCCAAATCACCCTTGTCAAGTTTCGATCTTTACTGCGTATTTCGGCTAAAAATCGTGTTTTTAGGGGTTTTCGATCGGTTTCCCTTTGTTTAGCGTTTTTGGTTGCTCGTAAGCTGTCAGAGTTAGAGAGCGAAAGTGAGATTCTTCTGATACTTTTGGTTTATTTTATTGGGCCTTGTTCTTCTCATCAATCATCGGTACTGTTGTTGTCATTTTGGGAGCTTCGATTGTATTAATAATAGTAGTAGTCGTAGTTGATATTAATATTAATTAGAGGGAGAGGGAATGATGGAGTGGAGGGGGAGGCGGCGACAGCAGCAGGAGGAGGAAGGGGGATGGTGGGGGCCCACCAACCGGCATTCGGGCAAGAAGTACGGCCGGCAGCCGCCTTCGCCCGCTGGTAATCTTTCCTCAAAGGGATCTCTTCTTGGATTTTGTCGCGTGTGTTCCTTGATTTCTTTTCCTTTTTTTTTCTTAGGGTTTTGAATCTTCCCGGTTCGATTTTTTTCTTGTTGTTGTGTTGGCCGATCGATCGACTGTATTGGTCGCGTTTGTCGTGGTAAAGTTAGGATTATTGGTGTTTCTTCGAATTTGGTAGTCAGATTGGGAGGTAGGATGTTGATTGTAGAGATTGATTCCTTTATCATGGATGGTATATCGTCTGTTGATTGGTCATGGAAGTTCCACTCGTTCTTTTTCTTCCTTTCCATATTCGATCTCTCTAGCTTCCAATAGTTTCCCCTTCGTTCTGCTAAACATTATAATGGCTGAATTTTTTGGTTCTGCATGTGCAGCGCGTATAAATCTTCCATGTTCTTCGTTGTTGAAACTTATGATTTTGGGGATGATAGTTTCATGTGGGAGAATAATCTTTTGTTGATTTGGATTTAATTAAATGATATTTTGTTCTTTGCTTTGAGAAGGTACCCTCGATTGTTTCGATAGTTTGTTCAAGTATTGGAGATGATATTATCGTTCTTTTTTCCTTCATACAAGCTGCTGTGCTCAACTTCGCGCCTGTTCTTGAAAGATTGTCCACTTTAGTGATTCTTCTGTGCTCAAGACATCACCATTATGGAGAAATTGCTTATCTTCACATATTAGAGTTTTTTACTGTTTGTGTTGGTTTCATCAGTGAGAACTTATTTGCCTATCAATTCCAGCATGTGTTCTGTTTTTCCTTTCGAAGATAGATATACTATTTTGACATTAGTTTTCACTTTTGGTGTGTCTTATCAACTTGATATCTTCTTTTCTCTTGAGTTTTTAAATTGATGTTGCAAGGCTATATGCAGTTTTAAAAGTGTACTTAACCCATGTAACTAGCTTTTATTTCAATGGATGCATCATGGGATGTAGGAGATATCATTAATTTGCATTTCTGCAGTACATGTAGGTTTGGTCATTTGTGTGCAGCCAATCTATTACATTTCGTGGCCGAAAGCACAAGACTCTTGGCAATGCGGGATTCCCTTGCAAGCAGGAAGGCTTTTTTTCTTGACTCAAATCTTGGTCACAGATTGCGAAGAAGCAATGCACCAAGGCTGGCCTCTTATTCTGCAATAGGATTAAGAACTTCTGTTTAACATATGCCTTCTATAATAAGATGCCTCATACATCCTCTTAGTGAAGTGTTGTCTTATTATGTTCTAGATTTATTTAGGTTCAGTTAATCTTGGTGGTCTCTATATTGTCAGTAGACTTTCTTATTTTCACGATAGCTGTGGAAATAAAAGAAGTCAGCAATAGCAAAGCCATTGGAAATTGTAATTTTTGCAGCAATTGAATTATTTGTTATTGGTTGACCACAGAAAGGGGAAAGGATGACTGATCAAACCTTTTGAATCCTTGCTGATCCTTTGTTTTCTGTTTTTGATGGATTCAGGCTTGTGGTGCCAGACAGTTCCTCAGTGGGAGAAGAAGTTCTGTACTGACGTGTGCTTGATACCATGGAGGAAGCTATGTGAAACCAAGAGAGTGATGTCTATGTATGAGAATGTGGTTCAATGGAATGACTCAGCAGGGGAAGAGGCTTTTAAAGATGCCAAGGCCCGCTTCTGGGCAGAGATCAATGGTCTCCCATGTGACATCCCTTTGCCGGATCCTGATATGTACATTGATGTGGTCAACCAGGAAGCCTTTGTCAATCCTCAGCTGGTGGAAGATTTGTATAAGCAGCCGCAGACACTAGATGATGGTGAAAGAGATGCTAGTTGTGGCTGGGATTCCTTTATTTTTGCATATAGACCAGTTCCAGCCTCCGGATGGGGTGACGAGGATCCTGTTCCAACCGGCTGGTTGGGTGCATCGTGTCCAGCTCCCACTCGATGCGGACATTCAGAGGATCCTGTACTGACAAACAACATCACCACCGAGCCTCATTCTGCAATGTCCTATAATAATGCTTTAGTTGGCAATCTGTCGTATTTAGCTACCAAGGATACAGGTGTTTACAAGAATTTTGATTCCCGAAATGTTCATGAAAACCCTTTAAATAAGGACATCAGCGAGAATGCATGGAATCCCTACGAGCTGGAAAAACAATTTGTACATGATAAATCATGGGAAGATGTTAGGGATACTTCAAGAGGTAATGGAAGGGACACATCATGGGATCGTAGGGAGCACAGGAATACTGAATCAGTTGGAAGGTTTAGCAGGAAGAGGAATGTTGGTCGTTTTAGCCTGAGACATGCTTGTCCGAAGGACCAGGTGGAAGATCATCAAACAAATAGCTGGAGAAATTGCAGAGGAAGGAAGAGGAACGAGTATCGACATCACTGACTCGAGCACTACAAACATCCTTGCGTCTTGAGCCACAACGATGTAGTCCAGTGAGATGTTCGGATCAGGTGAATCAGATAAACCTGTGTCCTGATATGCTGGTTGTGCTTCAAATTTTGGTTATTTTGTATAAAGGACATTTTAGCAGGTAATGACTAGAGAAATATGGTCTGCATTTAGGTTGTGTGGCTGGTAATTCATCTAAAACATGTGTGCTAAATGAATTTTATGCAAGTGTGATGCAAAAAAGATAAGCTAATGTTGGTGCCTAAATTGACATCTCATATATTTCATTTGATGTTTTGTTTAGAAGTCGCACTCTATGGCCATTTCATCCCTGAGTAGCCTCGTTGTTTACAGTCGGTAAACAACAGTCGGTATAAATGTTTTGTCGATCCGTCAGTTTTGGAGCCTGGCTGGTACCTTGTTTGATGTTTTTCTTTTCAAGCTTCTCTGTCGTCATCCAGGCATGAGTTGGTTTGAGAATTAAAGTGAAGCATCATCTGTCCAAAACCTTGCATGGTTGGGTTGAGAATTAACCTAATCATACTCTGTCCAAACCTTGAAAGGTCAATCGGGAGCAGCTACCCTTGCTTGATGTTGTCTGGCTATATACAAAAATAAATGTCTGTAACCTGGTAATTGTTACATGATATGATATGTTATTTGCCATCCTTATGCTCTGTAGTGTGCTCCTTTGATAATTAGCTATATCTACTCCATTGTTTAGGCTCGTAGAAATTTTGAATTTGCTTTTGTTGGGTGTGTGAGGATGAATCTTTCTAATAACAATAAGGCTGTTCTTCATCTTTTTCAGCCTTTTGAAGCATTAAGGCTGTTCTTTTGCTTAGTTAAAAGTACTACGTTTTTGTTTTTTCGTTGGAACCAATTAAATTAATCTGTGATCAACTTTTGGATTGAAAATTATAAAATCTGTGATCAACTTCTGTGATCAATTAAATTAATCTGGAAAAGTTGAGTAAAGAAAATTATAAAATCTTGCCTTTTGGATTGAAAATTTCTTCTCTCAACTTTTGCTTTGAATGTATTTGACTAACCTAACTAACTGGTAAAGAGATAGTTCATCCCAAACTTTCCACATATTCTTAGCCAAAAAAAAACGAAAAGGACCCTCATTCGTTACAACATTGTCCGATAAAGAAATCCAAGATAATGTGTAATTCTTCAACACTAATTCAAGAAGGCTTTAATCCTATGATGACAAACCACCGTTGGCCATTGACAAATTTTCGTCAACAAAGTTACAGAGAAAGGCTTTATAACAACACATATTTCATAATCACACATATGCATACAAAACCTATATTTGAAAGATGACCGGTGACTACACTAAAAGTGTAACTTACATGATTCCAGAGAAATTTGCTTCACGTCATAACGAAGAAGATCTGTCGTCTGAACTTCCACCCCACTCCACACAGCAGTGACAGGAGACTCATCCTCAACCACTGTCATACAAGCCATATCCATTTTCTTCATTTTTTCTCTTATGGTGAAAGACATGAAGAAATTACAGTTAAGAAGCAACACGAGAATTCTAAGCAGCATGACTACTTTGAGTTATTATTGAAGGAGTTTTGACTAATCAGAAACTCCATGCTTTTGATGGAAAAACTTCAATTTACATAAAAGAAAATACCACAAAACACTGTACATAAATGAATACTAAATTTGAATAACGCTGAAAACGATGAGTAATAAGAGCAATATGGGGCCCATTGCTTTTGGCTTTGTACATTAAGTGATGCTTAGTCAGTTCAACACAGTTTAGCTTCATCCCGTGGACCGTTTATCTCAAACTTGTATTCCTGTATCCTTATAAGCCGGTAAGGGCAACCGACAGATGAATAGTAGAAGACCTAACAAGAGAACAAAAGGGCACACTCATTAATGCAAATGAAAAGTCCAGATGCATCCTGTTGGAGTATTTCTTGATGCAAAACGTGATGAGTCGTACAAAAAGAAAGATTTGCAAAGACGAGCATTATGGCACAGACATGAAGCGTTGATGAGAGACGAGAAGCCACAAGAACTGATGCCACGATTGATGCATTCAAAGTGATGTTATTTGCCAGATTTGGGTTCTTTTTAACACCTGGGGTCTTATCGTGGAACCAGAAGAATCGTGCAGGAAAAGATGATGATGAGAAGCGATGCAGTTAGCGCCACTATTGAATCTGAACCGATAGACCAAGCGAGAGTATGACAGATGGGTGCCAAAAGGTTTAGGCCACATATACATATGAAAGAGGAAATGTTAAGAAAATACCGTGAGAGAAGCTGCACAGAGGGCTGAGTTGATTTGTTATATTGCCGAATCTTGAATTATAATTAGTCAATAAAAATATAAATAACATAAATTTATTATCCTCATAAATATGATAAATGATATGCTTATCATATTATTATAATTGATATAATTTATGATACATGTGTTCCATAAATATGATAACTGACATACTTATATTTTTTTATTTTTAATGTTGAAATATTTTTTTTTCTAAAAATATCATTCTTAATAATTTATGAAATATTGATTGAATATATATTAGCATTAATATTTATTTTAAGCATAACATAATAAATCAAAGTATGATAACGAACTTAATATGAGATTTGGCAATAAGCATATATATATATATATATATATATATATATATATATATATATAATAATAATAATAATAATTAGAATTGACGATTGAATTTTAATCGGTCTTAAGTAAATCTTAAAGCTTAAATGAGTTTAATTATGATTAACATAAGGAAGTTTGAATTTTAAACATTAAATATATGAAAGATCATAAAGTACCGAGGCATGAATGAAATAATATAAAATTAAATAAAGATACAAATCAAATAGGAGTATTATACTAAATGTTGAGATACATAAGTAATATTGAAAGATAAATTTAGATCAAAAATGTCTTTGTTAAACAAAATTAAACTCACTTGAAGTTGTTGCAATATTAAAATTATATTAATAAAAAAACTTGAAATGAGACATAATGGAATTGAATCCTAAATCTCAAGGTAATATCTAAAGCACCTCTATCTTATTTTAGCTTCATCATTTTTATCAATATGATAACCATAGCCTTTTCTCTTCTTTTTTAGCTATTCTCTTAGTATTTTCTATGTCGACAAGAAACCCCAACTTTAAGGAAGATTGGGATAAGAAAAAACTAATTCTTCTCTTGCTATACATTGGATTTCAAGTTTACAGACTAATTTTTTTAGATACTTTTAAGTAACCTAGATTTTGAATTAATATTTGATTTTAAGATATATTTTGTATAATTCTCTTATGGCTCCAAAGCCTCTAATATGTCCTTAATCTGAAATCGATGCAAAAGTTATGATTGTCCTAATTTGAGATACTCAAAATCTCTAATTTTTTGAAAAATGATTCTATTCGAACTGAATTGACTCACTTAGAGATATGATTAGGTTCTATCCTATAGATATATTTTAAAAAATTCTCTTTATTCTATGAGATTAGAATTGAGTAAATACCACCTTTGTGCACTAAGATACGAGGCTTTGTAAGTTCAGATAATCCTAACCCAGTTTCAGTAGAATAGAATAAGTATTAGTAGTAAATCAAGAGGGTAGTTTAACCTCCAAATGATTCTATTGTAAATTAAAAATTAGTGTGTATTTAGATCTATATGTCTCCTAGTGTTTTACTAAATTTCATGATAATTCAAGATTATTTGATAAGTTAAAATAGTGAAGTAAAATTTCTTCATAGAATTATGTATCATCGATTATAAAGTGAACTGTTGAAAGATTAATAGTGGAATCTAAATAAAATTTTAGGTTGAGTATAGTCTATTTTATTAGGGATTTTATCAAAATTTTTCTAAGAATTATTACGATGAGTTATTATAAATCAACAATTCAAGAGATAGGGTTCTTAATAACCCTATACTTTCAATTTGATTAGTGTGTCCCTCTTTAGCACTCTCGATCATTCAGAAATGTAGTCTTTCATTTATATCTTCATTTTTGAGTTTAATCAAGTAAGTATAAGTATAATTTAATATAAAGTAATAGTCGTATAAATTATTATATTCATATTATATTTTGAAAAGTATATTTTAAATGATATGATTATCATGAGCTAAACATGAGGAATATATATATATAGCGGCGTCGCCCCTACAGGTGAGCCCACAACCGACGCCCGCGGGCTGCCGGCCCCCACCCATTGGCTGCAGGCCTATTGTGAGCAAGCTGTTGGCAAGCTACTATAGGCACAGTGCTTGCGCGTGCAATGGTGTTGTGCTGCCTGCTTGCGGCCGCCGCTGCGGACGGCCTACCTACACGAAGATGGCATCAAGGCTGCCATCTTCGAGCGCAATAAGGGCAGCAAAGTTGCTACCCTTTCTCGCCTTTTGCGTCAATAATTTTGATGTCAAAAGTATTACAGAAACACAACACATGTAATTCAAAACCAATCGTTTGCATGAACAACCTAGCTCTGATACCACTATTGGGAAATCTTGGGGGATGACATCACAAGCGCAATGGAAGAATAGAAAATAAAATCCAAGTCCCAAAAAGATGTTCATCGTCGTACGAAGATTGGTGCGCAAAAATCAGCGAAACAGAAAACCACGTATTGTTGAATCTCGGATTTTGATGATGAAGTCAATTGTCATTTGTTGTCTAATCTATGTGTTGAGATAAGTGTGCAGGATTAACTACGATGAAAGTTAGACAAGCAGCAGGAGTTGCGCCGGAGTCAAGTTCATGATCACGTTGGGAGTTCGACGGAAGTTCGGATGGTTGTCGAAGGTTCTGCGAGAACAAATCCGAGAAGTCCAGAAGCTTGCCAAGCGAAGCTCGTCGGAACTTGCCAAGTGGATCGTCGCAAAGTCCAGGAGTTTTCCGGAAGTCCGCAGGAGCATCACCGAGGGTTCATCGGATGATCGATGGAAGTTTGCCGGAAACTCGCCGGAAGAAGCGATTGACGCACCGAAGCAAAGCTGCAGAAATTGTCTTAGATCTAATCGTAGTTAGCACGTTGATTAAGTTGGAAAATGGGAGGTGATCCCATTAGCTTAATCTTGGGGCAATTGGGCCCCTGAAAGACTGAAATTGGACCGAATGGAGCTAACCATTCGGA